AAAATCCCACGGCTCCGCAATACTGTAAACTACCAATTCTATAAAAATACGCAGCTGAACGACTCAAAAATCAGACTTCGCCGCTTGAATTTTCCAAAATTCCGAATTTAAACCCTAAATCGGAAAACTTCTCCGATCAAACGAACGAGGGGCGCGAGTGCTTATCGAACGTTGAAATACGAAGTTGATCCGAGCTGGCGAGGCTCCGATGACGTGAACCTTTCCTTTTTCTTCTTCTTCCTTTCCTTTCCCTTTCTCTCTTTTTCTTTCTTCTCCTTTCTCTCTGTCTCGGCCGAGCCAGCTCTCGGCTTAAATGAGAAAATCAGAGTGTTACTGTAGCAACTTTTGACTTTCTGACTTTTGATTTTTTTTATTTTTTTTTTGCAAATACCCGAATATTACAGAATGGATGCATCTCTTATCTGTGGCGGTGGCGAGCTGGTAATGACTTACTCGGAAGTCCACACTTCATCACACAGAATGCAATCAATCCTGTTACCGCAATGGATTTAGCAACAGAAACAAAGACAAGACCTCCTTACTTGAACGAGAGAAAAGAAATTTATTTATCTGATATAACAATCCTTCGATACGTCATACAACTGATACGTCGACACCGAATCGATCATTCATTACATGCTATGTATAATTCTTCGTACTTGACCTCAGTAATCCAACATATAACACGATGAAATAGCATTAGCTTAGGCACGTTAGCGGACATGTCTTTAGAACCTGATTTCCGATGATGAAAATCAGTAATAATTCCTCCCGAATTCAGCTACTGCAGGCCTCCGAGACCCCAAATTGATGCTTCCATATCTCTTTGTTGGGTCCATGGTGTGAGGCATTATCTCAGGGTAATAATACACCGTCGAGGCCGACTCCGTGTATCTTGAACCCACCTGCTGCTGATGAGGGTAACTGCCTGAGGCCGAGGAATGAGCCGCGTTGCCCTTCAAGAACTCGATTGCCGCGCCTATGTCGTTCGTTGGCTTAGATAGCGATCCGGTCCCATGACCAGGCCTCGGCACGACGTAGCCCTCAGTGGGGACCATCGCGGTCATCACGCCCCGGTAATTGTCGCCGCCTGACCTCCGCCAATCCATGTTACCGCTGTAGTCACCATACTCGCTAGGCCGGTATGGTTGCCCCGAAGTGCCGTAGCCGTGGGCGGTGGCCTGGCTCGGGTACGGCTTTTGGACATACTCGACAGTTTCATCACGCTTGTAACTATTATCGTAACCGACCGGGCGCTGAGGAACTCGCCAAGCGTCGCCGACGACTCCTCCTCCTTTGGCGGAGTAAGAGCCGTAGCTCCTGTCGTAGCCGTCGTACGTCGGCAGAGTAGCGGCGCGTCCGTACGTCGTCTCGTATCGAGAATCGACGTACCTGGCCATTATCGTTTCTCGAGGGATGTGCCTGATGAGGAAGGGCTTGGATCTATGAAGAAACTATAGGAATGTTTCTTCACAAACCCTTCCTTGTTTAACATGTTGAAGGAAGCTAGGACTTATATAAGGAAACAGAAACAGAAGATTCGTAGTTTAAGTTACTCTTTCGCATGGAATGAGATTCATCTAACGCACAGTCAAATGAACGCGAAGCGCGAGAGGATCTCATGCCTATCTTTATTGAAAAGTTTTGGTGCAGGATTAGTTTGAGATGCTGACTTTGGTTTTCATTTTGATCATGTCCGTGGAAATCGCATCTTGGCGAAATTGCAAATTTAGATCAGATTCTTCGACAAGTCCATAGGCGGATGGTGACCTCCATTAGCAATGAATAATGTAAGAGAATAAAGGAAACCTCTCTTCTAGCATGTATCACGTAATGCACGAGCCAAAACCTGACCGATGAGGTTGTTATGGCGTGCAAGCCTAAGCAATGTGATCGGGTCGTGCGCTTATTAACGCGTCTAATGATCCGATGTCCGTTTCTTAACTATTAAACCGATCTCGGGACGAGTTAAACCATTGTAGCTTGACGCTTGAGACCAGGGAAACGAGTTTGTTAGAGCATCTAACAGGAAAACCTATTCCTTGCAAAACCGTCCGTAGAAGAAGCACACCTATGTCCCCTTCATAGGACGTGCGACATTAATTTGACGAATGAATAGGTGGGGATAGCAAACCACTAAATAGGAATATCGGGATAATATTCCGAACCCAACGATCCAAAATGATAGACTATTTATTCTGCTCTTTTCTTCGGCCTTTCACATATGAAAGAAAACCCTCTCACTTGTCATATCGTGATCGACTGTCATGAAAAGTGAACTATACGGCTAAAGTTTGTAAACCTTCGATACATATGCCTAAACTTAAATAACAACACCTAGGAAGTCAAGTTTAGGAAATTAAGCCGAGGCAGAACCTATAAAACCTTCAGGGTTTTGTATACCATACATGTATGGTACAATTAGTAACCTTTTCGATCTTTATACCGGGCATGTATGCTACAAATTTTTTTATACCGGTGCTCTTCTTAAGATCAAAACATCTGCACACATATGTGGCTGTACAACTAACATCGTAATAATCATAGAATTGTCGGCTTGTTTCATGGAAAATGAACGATTTGGAAAATATTTTCCTAAAAATGATTACTATTATCGCTTGAAATAATTAATCAATGGAAAATGTTTTCATTACTGGCAACAATTTGTGTCTAAATATTTTCGTGAACGATAAAAATATCTATCATTTTTTTTGTAAGCGATATAAGCAATCATTTTTTAGGAAAATATTTTTCAAATCATTAATTTTTCACAAACCAAACATAGCCTTAAATTCAAAACAACTTGTCGACCCGCTCATTGTACCCGCTCATTGTACAACATATTGGTTATCACCCGGCCTTCCCATACAAGTCGTCATTCTTTACCCACCAATAGTGACACCTTTTTTACCGTTAACGTCAACCCTTCCTTCCCACTTCAAAAAATCAGTTAGATAAACCTTAGAACCAATCGGTTTCCGACACGTCATCGGCGCGGGCGGACCAACGAAGGCCCCCGGATGACGTGGCGGAACGAGGAATGAAACCAACCGCAACAAAGGCCGGCACCAACATGTTGCTTTTACTCCACGTTTATCGGAGAATGCTGTCGTGGTTAAAGTAATCAACGACCAATTTCCGAAAATAGGGAGAGCATGGAATTGTCACACTCGCATCTCACTTTCTACTATCACACTTTTATAAATCTCTCATTGGCATCTTAGACTGGTCTAGAGGACCAAATTACCATTTATTCGAGATAAAATAGCACCAAAGAAGAAAACCTCGAGTTTTTACTACTTTTGAAAGTATAAGTTTGCGTCATTAATTCTATTATGCCAAACTAAAATGACCGAACTACCTTCCCTTAAGAAACGACCCCGGTCTCAAACCGCCCACTCCCGCTAACCCTCCTTAGCCGAGTCTATTGCATTTGCCACCATCCTTTGCCGTCACGCCACCACCCTCGACCGCCTCTGGCTACCTTTGGGGATGCCCATGGAGAGAGAGAGAGAGAGAGAGAGAGAGAGCTAGCTTATGTGGTGGGTTCTTCGAGGCGGTGTTAACAATTGTAGGGCCCTCGGCTGCAGGCAGCGGTGGCAGCAACGGGGACTTAAGCTTGGGACTAAGATTAGGATTATGTGAGTTAGATTTGTGTGTTTGGTGGGTGTGATGAAGAAATGGCAGGGGTAATTCTCTAGAATGAAAATGACAACATTGGAAATAGACGAACAATTCTGCCTAAGCGACGATACAAATTTGTTTGCTCAAACGTAGTGATGCAAGGTGGTAATCTTGTGAAGACCATGTATAATGACTTTGCCATTTTTCCTTTATCCAATAAAGAAAATACAATGTAGGGTTAGTGATACGACATGGGCATTTCTAAAAGAAGTTGTGACGCGTGTTCAAATCATAGTGTCTCCCACTCAAAGATTTTAGGAGGCCATGCCCACTTTTCCCATGGGTGAAATCTTATTCGTCTCACATGAATGAAGCGGCTTGCGCACATCTGTGGAGATTAGTTGAGTTCAACGGTTCAAATATCACGTGTTATACAAAAAGTGGCGACTTGACGCAATTTAAAAGTTTATAGCTAAACTTAACGTGCAAATTGCAGGTTTTGAGTAGGAGATGTAAAGTGTATTTTGGACAAGAACAAAAAGTAGGATATTTTTTTTTTTGGTAAGGACAAAAAGTAGGATATTTTGCGTTTCATAATGTGCAAATTAGAGAGCAGAAGTGATGGCAAGTGGTTATGGAATGAATGGAGAGAGGTGATAAAATTTAGAAGAAGCATGGCGGTATAGAGCTACCCATGCTTTATTAAAGGCATAACTATGATTTTATGGTTATAATTGACAACGGGTTATAGCCATCGGTTTCATTAATCAACACAAGTAAAGAAGGCACACACATTGTTACCAAAAAGCTCAGATTTTTTGGTTGGGAAAGATTACTCGTATACCATACCACAATATTTGTAGACCCCATAAACAAGTGATGTACTTTAACATCTCCTCGCACGTGTAAATTGGGTCAACAACAGTACACGAAATTGACGAGTGGGGAGCCACATGCATGGAATAATCAAGGGCAACACCTAGCTCTTTTTCCATGTTGGAAATGTCCGACCCAATTTGAACCATTAGGTAGAGGGAGAATAAATGTACAAGGACCCAATCAAATCCTAGTCAAATGATATGGGGTCATATCTAACAAATAAGATTCATTTTGGTGTATATGCTCTTTTTATTAGTTTCCATTATGTTTATGGGGAATCATCTTATGCAACAATATGAATCTATTTGCTTGAGTATATTGTATTGTGATTTCAAGAGTAAGATAAAAAGAAGAAGTATTGTGTCTTACGTGATCCATGAGAATAGAGAGATATTTCATTTGTCCATAATTTACCTATCTAAAGTGGATGTCCTCGTCGTATATAAAAAGAAATAGAGGCAATATTAACAAAAGTGTGAAGCGAAACAAACAGTAAATGGCTATGCATTTGCTATATGCAAGCGGGCTATTGAATCTCGAGCTCATTTGTTATTTGAGTGTGCATTCGCTTCTGGGGTTTGGCAAAGACGTGTATTGCTATGCTCAGTCGATAGAGTTCCTGGAGATTGGGATGTTGAATTTCAATGGATAACTCTGCATGTCAAAGAAGTTAGTGCCAGAGCAGTGTCGTCGAAACTCGCCTGGAATGGATGCATCTATCATCTGTGGCGAGCTGGTAATGACTTATTCGGAAGTCCACGCTTCATCGCGCAAAATGCAATTACTGCAATGGATTAACCAACAGAAACAAAGACAATACCTCCTTACTAACTCGAAGGATAGAGAGGGAATCATTTATCTGATATAACAATCCTTCGATGCGACAGTACGACAAATCACTACATGCTGTATATAATTCTTCGTACATGACCTCAATCCCAAACAGGCGAATCCAACATATAACATGATGAAATGGCATTAGCTTAAGCCGACAAATTTTACACTCTGATTTCCGATGATGAACATCAGTAATAATTCCTCCCAATTTTGTACACGACCCCAAATTGATGTTTCCATATCTCTTTGTTGCATCCATGGTGTGAAGCATTGTCTCCGGGTAATGATAAGCCGTCGAGACCGATTCCATGTATATTGTACCTGCCTGGTGCTGACGAGGATAATTGTTTGTTGGCTTAGATAGTGATCCGGTCCCATGACCAGGCCTTGATGCAACATAGCCGTCGATGACAGTGGGAACCATCAGGGCGATCTCTTTCTTGTAGTTGAACTCGTCCTTCTCGCCCCGGCAATTGTCACCGCCCGACTTCCGCCAATCCTTGTTGCCGCTGTAGTCGCCATACTCACTAGGCCGGTACAATATACATCGGTCAATAATATACATCTGACATAAACGTCGACCGTCCTACATGACACGGTCGGCGTTGACGCGAATAATTTTCAATAATATTTTTTTTTAATTTTTCATTTCTTATTTTTTTATTTTTTCTTTTCTTCTCTTTTCCTTCTTTACTTTTTCTTTTTTTTTCTTTTTTCTTTTTTCCCTCCGCCGGCCATCGTCGAGCCTCGTCGATGGCCGACGGAGGTTGCCGGCCTCAAGTGAGGGCAGCCCTCGCTGAGGCCGGCGACCATCAACGAGGCTTGGCAGTGGCCAGCAGAGGGAAAAAAGAAAAAAGAAAAAAAAAAGAAAAAGAAGAGAAAAGGAAAAAAAAAAGAAAAAATGTAAAGAAGGAAAAGAGAAGAAAAGGAAAAATTTTAAAATTTAAAAAATATTTGAAAAAATTCTTAAAATTTTTTAATATCAGTGCCGGTCATGCCACATAAGATGACTGATGCCACGACAACAATTTCTGGCCAAAATATACCGGATGAACTCAATTGGCAAAATGTGAAAATATTTAATATTCAATTAGCACAAATAAAAGGTTTCGAACTGAATTTGAAAAAGTACAATTGATTTAAGATTTTTTGGACAATTTTCGCCTCATCAAATTCATCACGGTGGCAATTATTGCTGACTTGGCCTTGAGGAACTCGCCAAGTGTTGCCAACTCCTCCTCCTTTGGGTAGAGTAAGAGCCGCAGCTCCTATCATAGCCGTTGTACGTGGGCGGAGTAGCGGCACGTCTATACGGCATCCCGTAGCCAAAATCGATGTACCTCACCATTGTTGTATCTTGAGTAAATGAGCTTGATGTGGAAGAACTTTGATTTGTGAAGAAACTTTATAAAAGCTTCTTCACAACCCTTCCATGTTGAATATGTTGAAGGAAGCTAGGACTTATATAAGGGGGAAAAAATAAAAAAATATATTGGTAATTGATTAAGTTATTTTGTTGGCTAGAGTGTGAAGTGATGGAATGAGATTCATCTAATACATAATATCACATGAACGTGAAGCGTCAGAGGATCTTATGCTCATCTTTACTGAAAAGTCTTGGGGCAGCACTAGTTTGGGATGCTGGCTTTGGCTCTCATTTTGATCACGTCCGCGGAATTGGCATCATAACAGAAGAGCAGAATTCTCTTCCAGCATATTGCACAGTATTGTCAATGCTTCATTGAGCAAGAGCTTAGGAGAAAGATCAGATGAGGTTGACCTCCATAAGCAATGATGATGTAAGAGACTAAAGGGAACTGTCTCTTCTAGCATGTCATGTCAGGTAATACGCGAGCCAAAACCTGACTAATGAGGTTGTTATGGTGTGTAGAAGAGGAATGCAATAGGGTCGTGCGCTTATTAACGCATTTACTTATCCAATGTTCATTTCTTAACTACTAAACCGATCTCGGGACGAATCCAAAAACTGTAGCTTAATGCTTGACGAGGGAAACGAGTTTGTTAGAGCATCTAACGGGAAAACCTACTCCTTGCGACACGTCGAGGATTCATCTCGCGTACTCCGTCCGCAGAAGAAGCACAACTATGTCCCTACATTGGACGTGCGACACGAACCTGACGGATGAATAGGTGGAGATGTTGAAACCTAGATAGGAATACGGATGTGGGACAATATTCCTCACCCAACGATCCAAAGTGATGACTATTTATTCTGTTCTTTTCTTCGGCCCTCCACACGAGAAAGAGAACCTCAACACTTGTCATGCCGCGATCTACTGTCACGATACGTGAACTATACGTTTAAAGTTTGTGAACCTTCAATACAAATGCCTAAACTTTAATACCCTCAACTAGGAAGTCGAGTTTAGAGAATTAAGTCGAGATGGAATCTAAAAAACCTTCGGGGTTTTTATATCATGCACATTGGTTCAATTAATAACCATTACGATCTTTATACCGTGGACGTATGCTATAAACTCTTTTATCCCGGTGCTCTTAAGATCAAGACATGTGCACGCATGCGGCTATACAATTAACTTCGTAATAATCATTGATTTCAATCTTAGGTTCCGTTTGTTTAGTGGAAAATGAATGATTTTGAAATATTTTCCCAAAATGATCGTTCAAAATAATTAGTCAATGAAAAATGCTTTCATTATTGAGAACAATTTCTATCTAAATATCTTCAGGAATGATGAAACCGTTAGTCATTTGTTCATTTTTTATGAGCGGTAGAAGCGATCATTTTTAGGTTTTCTAAACCTTTTGTTTTTTACCGAACAAACGGAGCCTTAAACTCAAATTTGCTGATGCAATATCGACAACTCTTTGGACATCACTTGTCATCCGATTCATCGTACAAAATACCAGTTATCATACGGCCTTCCCATAGCCATAAGTCCGTCATTCTCTAACCACCAACGATGACAGTTTTTCACCGTTAACGTCAAGCCTGCGGCCCCACTTCAAAAATCCGTTAGAAAAGCCTTAGAACCAATCGAATCCCGACACATCGCCGGCCGACCAAGGTCCCGGATGACGTGGCAGAGCATGCAATGAAACCAACCGCAACAAAGGCAGGCACCAACATGTTGCTTTTACTCCGCTCCGAGAATGTTGTCGTGGTTAAAGCGATCAACGACCAAATTACCGAAAACTTAGGAGAGCATGATTCATGCTCTCTTCACTGACTCGCTCGCACCTCGCTTTATATTATCGCACTTTTATGCACCTCTCATTGGCATCTTAGACTAGTCTAGTGGACCAAACTACCAATTTATTCAAGATAAAATACCAAAAATAAAAACCTCGAGTTTTCACTACTTTTGAAAATATAAATTTGCATCCTCAAACCTAGTAACGACCCTGATCTCGAACCACCCACTCACAATCCTAAACCTCTTGTAATTGTGTCGATTCAGTCTTAAATCTTGTATTTACCAAATGAGTCCTAAACCTTTTTGTATTTGTGCCAATTCAGTCCATTGGCCAGAAATCGCTGATATGGACGCCAGTCAACCTACGTGACGTGACCGGCGCTGACGTTGATAATTTCTTTTTTTATAATATTTTAATATTTTATCGAATTTTTTCCTGTTTTTTTCTTTCTCTTTCCTTTTTTTTTTCTTCCCTTCTTCCTCTGGCTAGTCGTTGAGGTATGGAAATCAACCAGAGGCAAGGGCCAATGAGGTCTCGTCGAGGTTGACCTCGACAGCCAAAGGCAAAAGGGAAGAAAAAAAAAGGAAAGAGAAAGAAAAGAAAAGAAAAATTCAAAAAATTATAAAAATTATCTACATGAGTGCCGGATGCCAGCCGTGCTATGTAGGACGGCTAACGTCCATGTCAGCGATTTTTGGTCAAAATTAGCCGAATGGACTGAATTAACACAAATGCAAAAGGTTTAGAACTCGATTGGCAAAAAAAAGGTTTATAACTGAATTGACATAATTACAATAGGTTTAGGACTCAATTGGCAAAAAGAAGATTTAGAACTGAATTGACACAATTATAATAGGTTTAGAATTTTTTTGGTAATTCTCCCCCCACTCGCACTAGCCCTCCTTAACCAAGTCTATTGCATTGCCACCATCCTTTGTCATCACGCCACCACCCTGGACCGCCTCTGGTTGCCTTTGCGGATGCAGAGAGAGAGAGAGAGAGAGAGAGAGAGAGAGAGAGAGAGAGAGAGAGAGAGAGAGAGAGAGAGAGAGAGAGAGAGAGAGAGAGAAGGTGTTGAAACAGAAATCGTTGTATATTTCCATTAAGCTTAGTTGGGGTATATAAATACCCAAGAGTACATTCTAGAAGATTTACTAGCAAGAAAGAAATAAATAAAATACAAAAACTTTCTAATTTCTAAAGATAAGATTCCAAATCTTCTAAAATTGATTACCCTATATTTGGTAGATATATATTTGGTTGATACACCCCCTCAAGTTGAAGAATCGAGACTACGAATCTTCAACTTGTCTCGTAAAAATGCAAACTGTGCTTTGGGAAGAGCTTTGGTGAGAGCATCAGCTAGTTGGTCAGCTGTTGAGATAAACTACACACTCAGTTGTCATTTGGCAACGCGATCACGAACAAAGTGGAAGTCAATTTCAACATATTTGGTACGAGCATGGAAAACTGGATTTGCAAACAGATAAGTGGCACCAATAATATCGCACCAAAGGATGGGGGGACCTTGAAAAGGGAACCCAAGCTCTTGAAAGAGTGACTCAAGCCAAATGAGTTCAGCTGCAGCATCGGCAAGAGCTTTATACTCAGACTCTGTGGAAGAGCGCGCTATGGTTCGTTGTTTTCTAGAGCTTCAAGAGATCAAATTAGGACCAAGAAAAATAGCATACCCTCCAGTTGACTTCCTTTCGTCAGAGCTACCAGCCCAATCCACATCAGAAAAAGCTTGCAAGCGATTATCATTGGATCGGGAAAGAAGCAAACCAAATGACCTTGTGTGTTTGAGATAGCGCAATATGCGTTTCACCATTTGCCAGTGGTCTTCAGTAGGTGCATGCATGAATTGACAAACTTTATTAACGGCGAAGGAGAGATCTGGTCTTGTCAATGTCACATATTGCAAGGCACCAACTATAGACCGATACAAAGTAGGATCAGACATCAGAGCACCCCCTTTCTCAGATGGTTTTGTAGTCGTGGCCATAGGAGTTTGGATAGGCTTGCACTCAAACATCCCAGCCCTGCGAAGAAGATCATCAATATATCGTCCTTGACAGAGAAGCAACCCGTTAGAGTGAGGGACAGCCTCTATCCCAAGGAAGAAGTGGAGCGGGCCGAGATCCTTAATGGAAAACTCTACAGATAATGTCTCTAAGATTGCACTGATAGTAGAAGATGCATTTCCTGTAACCAGAATATCATCAACATAGATCAAAAAATAAATGACATCAGGGCCTCTTCGATAGATAAATAATGAGGAATCTGTTTGTGATGCTGAGAATCCCAAATGAAGCAAAAACTGTGAGAGTCGTTGAAACCAGGCTCTCGGAGCTTGCTTGAGACCATATAGAGAATGATGCAACTTGCAAACATAATCACGACGAGTTGGGTCTTGAAACCCAGGGGGTTGTTCGATGTACACCTCTTCAGAAAGAATCCCATGTAAGAAAGCGTTGTGCACATCCAATTGTCGCACTTGCCACTCTTGAGAGACAGCTAGAGATAATATAGAGCGAACAGTGGTAATTTTCACAACTGGACTGAAGGTTTCTCTATAATCCAAGCCATGTTGTTGATGAAAACCCTTAGCGACCAGGCGAGCTTTATAACGCTCAAGACTACCATCCGCTTTGCGCTTAACTCTGTAAACCCACTTACACCCAACGAGGTTCATGGAGGAAGTGCGAGGGACCAAAGACCACGTACCATTTTTTAATAAGGCATTAAATTCATCGGTCATAGCTGCACGCCACTCAGGGCTTTTGTTGGCTTGGGTGAATGAGGTTGGCTCGGTGAGAGGGGTGGTGGCAGTATTAATTTGAGGAGGACGAGAGCAAAGTTGCATGGTGTGGGTGCGTGTTGGCCTAGGTGGGGGCGACGGCGGCGGTGGTGGAGAGGATGATGAGGAAGGAGAGTGATAAACGTCATGGAGGGGTCTGGTTCTTAAGGTAGGGGAGATGAATGAATCGGTATTAGACGACATTGTGGGAGTCAGTGGAGGAGTCTGTGTTCTCACTATATTGGTAGGCGGAGGAACGCCAATAGGGGCTGAAGCCCACAGTACCAGGACAGGTGTAGGAAGTGATGAATTAGGTGGTGGACCGAGAATGGAAGGAGTTGCAAAGGGAAAACAAGTTTCATTGAAACGAACATGTCGAGCAATGTATAAATGATTAGTGACAGGGTCAAGACAGCGATACCCTATATGAGAGGAACTGTATCCCAAGAAAATACAAGGAATGGAGCGGA